GAATTGTCTCTTTGATTATCATCAAGCATTACTTCAGAAATTTTATTAATAGTTTCATCTTCAATATCACTATTTTCTTCATGCAAAATATTTTCAAATAATACAGATAAATCACATAGGTAAGTGACAGTTCGGGTTACTACTTCCGTTTTTGAACCTTCTGAATTTATGCACAGTACATTGCAAATTTTAATTAACTCATTCAAAGTAAAACTATTCTGCACTGTATCTATTTTCTTATTAAATTCTTCAGAATCTGGTTTAAATATAAAGCCAGAAAATTCACGTAATCTTTTCCGGTTATTTCGATCTCCATCAGTATTAAAAATAAGCTTATGCAAACTTTTGATTTCAGAACTTTTACTGTTCTTTAAAGCTGCTTCCAATTCTGGAATTTCTACTAACTTCATATTGGAAAGAAAGTTTTGTACTCACCCGACAGATGATCGTCGTCAATTGGGTAATCCACACTTTATACGAGTAATCCAATAAATCGGTAGTTCACTCAGTAGTTCTGAACACAGTTCATAATGTCACTCACACATTTTGGAATTCGAGGCCGCACGGTTGGTCGCCATATTTTTTTGTAGACTTTGACTTAATTCACAGCATGAGAGCACGAAGTAATATTTAAATGGTTTATTTAATAGGAAGAAATAAAAGTAATTAAGAAAAGTATATAAAGATGAAGTTAACGGTAAGCAGGATTAACATAATGATTACACCTAAAGGCATAACATCAAAAGCACAATCTAAGTTCATAAACTCTTGAAGGCGTATGAGCCGTCTGCTCACGTCTGCCCTCCACTCTCGACCAGGTCTCAGCGCTGTCTGGGATGATTCTTACTGCGCTGGGCTGTGATTGATGCTATACTGATGACGTCATAATCCTGGTATTCTAATTCAGCATTGGACGTTGATGACTCCCACATATATGTAATAGTTAATAATTATGTTTTATCTTATTTTTATTAAAATTTCTTAATTACAAATGTATAATGCATTAAAACGTATTTAACTGATAAACTTTTATGAGCACTTATAGCATGATGCAATTAATAAAAAGTGTTGATAATATTATGTACACAATGTTGGGACCCGACCAGTTTGCTGTAGCAGAGTAATGTTAAAAAAATTTGTAGTATATAAAGATGAAGTTAACGGTAAGCAGGATTAACATAATGATTACACCTAAAGGCATAACATCAAAAGCACAATCTAGGTTCATAAACTCTTGAAGGCGTATGAGCCGTCTGCTCACGTCTGCCCTCCACTCTCGACCAGGTCTCAGCGCTGTCTGGGATGATTATTACTGCGCTGGGCTGTGATTGATGCTATACTGATGACGTCATAATCCTGGTATTCTAATTCAGCATTGGACGTTGATGACTCCCACATATATGTAATAGTTAATAATTATGTTTTTATCTTATTTTTTATAAAATTTCTTAATTACAAATGTATAATGCATTAAACGTATTTAACTGATAACTTTATGAGCACTTATAGCATTGATGCAATTAATAAAAAGTGTTGATAATATTATGTACACAATGTTGGGACCCGACCAGTTTGCTGTAGCAGAGTAATGTTAAAAAAATGGTTCAATTAAAAAATAATTGAATTGTAATAATTCATCGGGCAATTTTTAATTACTTTGTAGCCAATTTTATCATTTATTTAAGAAGCAAATTGTTTTTTAAATATTCTTATCTTGTAACTTCATATGTGTTATGTATGTTCATAAATTTTTTGTATCCCATAGCTGAATATACATTATATACATTACCCATCACTGTTAATTACACGAAGTGGTAGAGAATTATTTTTAAATAAAAAAAAATTTTCTTCTATGCACATTTGTGTATATATTGAAGAACCTATGCTAATATAAAGGTACTGTTTCCACTGGAAATATTAATAGCAATGCATCCTGCTTTGTACATCTAAATACATTTACTGGGAATTCATATAGAAATTAAGAAATGACCACTTTTCCCTCTGTAAACACATTTTAACTGCAGAAAAAATGGCTGGGGTGATAATAAAATTATCAAATAAAATATATGATATAAATATGCTCTCGTGTACTTCATCTTTAAATTCTCTGAGGTTAAATATAGGTATTTTTTTGGAAAGGGGACTTTACTATTTATTTAAAATGCTGTGAATGGAATTCAACAGACAGTACGATAAAAAAAGGAAGACGTTTAAAGATGTCTGCTGAAAAGCATATTCCTGAGAAGTACTACCAAAAGATATTAATGTAAAATTTTAGTAATGTAAATTAATTTTCCAATCTCCTAGCTCCTAACCTATTTCTAAAAGCACTTGAAACAGAGATTCGTAAGAGATTAAAAATCCAGTTTCTTGCATTAAAATTATTATTCCAAAAATGTTCAAATTTTATAAAGAAGAATATAAGATTATATTTGTCCTGCTAAAACGTTTTTTGGGGAGGGGAGGTAATATTGTGTACATGTTAATATGTGTAATAATTTCTTTCTCATATTTACTGCTGAAACATAATTAGGATTAAATTATATATAATTTCTGAAAAATGACTTGAATTATGACAGATTTCTGAAGTGACATTTAATTAAGTTGGATAATATGGCAGCTTAAGAAAAATTATTCAAATTCCTGAGTATATTCAAGATTAATAAGTTTAGAAGCATACAGTTTTCAAGAGCTATTAAATGTACTATAGACGATGTTGAACTACATATGATTTGCATTCTGAAAATTTAAATTGAATAAAAGGTACCAGCAAATTAGAAAATATTTCTGTAGAAAATACATTTTGAGCCATGAAACAGACATTACTTTTACTGTTATAGATGATTATATAAGAAAAAAAAAAAAAAAAAAAAAAAAAAAAAAACATTGTCTTAATAATTTTGGTAATTTGCAAGTTGATACAGTTATTCAATGAACCCCTTTAATTGTTAAAATTCATAAGTGAAACTAGTTGTTTATTATTTGGAGTTTTTTTTTTTTTTTTTTTTTTTTTTTGTATAGAACTTGGTCATTGAAAATTTTTAATAACGTTTATTAAGCACACCTTTATAAAATGCACTCTTTTCTAAGTATTAATACATTTTAATTGAGCACTCTTAGCTTAATTTTGTTCAATTGTTTTGGATCTTTTTTTCATAAATTAAAAAATAATTGAAATTAGAATAATTAAAATATCCTACAGTGCTATCAAAGATAATGTAAAAAGCTTAGAAATTAAAAATTTGAAATTTAATTTGCGAAAAATGTACTCAAAATGTCAGTAAATTCAAAAATAGCATGTTCAATAATTTATTTGCATATTTATTTTGTGAAATGAAAGTAATATTAATAATAGTTGATTTGGAAAAATGTTTTATCTGAATTGGTTTTGTCCCAATAATTTGGATAAATGAGATTCTACTTGAATATTTTACTAGATGTACTTCTTTAAAAAAAAAAAAAAAAAAAAAAAAAGAAAACCGTTATTTTATCTTAAATGTGAAAGTTTTTTTTTTTTTTTTTTAACAATAAGATTTTTGAAAATTAATTACGCTTCACTGCAGTTTTTCGTCATTTGCTTGCTTAAAACTTAATTTTCGTTTACTTTATTTTATTACCTCTTTTATGCTTTGTAAGTTACGTTTAATATCATTTTAGTTCAAAATTATCTTACACTCAGCTATTAGACTGATATTGAGCAACACGATTAATTTGGTTTGGATTTTTTTATTTGCCAAGTACCGTAATTTCGCGCGTATAGTCTGCGGACTATCTGTGTCTAAAATGCGAATTTTTGAAGCTGCGGACTATCCACCAGTGCGGATAATACGCTGGTTGTTCACGGTTAAAATTGTTGAAATTTAAAAAACACGCTGTCGTGAACTGCCGATGATCAAATATATTGTAAAAGCACGAGATTCCAAGGAGAAAACATTCGTATGTATCGTATCAATAGTAAACCATAGAGCATAGTGCAGAACGAATGAGTAGTAGCAAGTAGAGCTCCTAAAATACCAGGCTGGCGCATCAAGCGATGCCGAGATATGAGCCAAAGAAAGTCTTGTATGAGCACTCACTTAGCGCAACAACAGAGTCTTGTATCCCAGTATCCTTCGCACTGCTTTAGCGCAACTGACTGCCGAGGAGGGGGGAAAAGTAGTTGATGCGTCAGCTCGATTTTTAGGAGCCATAGTAGCAAGTACCTGGAGTACGAAAAAAAAAAGCGTGATTCGTTTACTTATAGCGTGGTTTGGCAACACCGAGTGAGTGGGGTCGAAGGTCACATTTCATTACCACTTATCACGAGTATAGCACGTTGCACAGTATTTTGTTTTCGTATTTTGTCTTTCATCTTCGATAACGTTGATGAAACATCGCCGGAGTTTTACTGCTGAGTTAAACTCAAGGTAGTTGAGAAAGATGGAAATAGAGAAGCGGGCTGTTATTGGTTTAATCCTAGTATTCGGTGCACACGGGACTTGGCTACTTTTGGCGACTTTATGATGAGCAGTGAAAACGGGACATATACGATGAGTAGTTAACGGGTCATTCAAAGAAAATATATAGTTAAACATAGTATATAGCATATATATTATGTGTGTATATACATATACTATGTGTGTATACTATATATATAGACGTTCTTTGGATCATTTTTGGTGTTGGCGATAATTTTCAAAGTCGCGCCAAGGCTGCACCGTATACTAGGATTTTACCCCGTTATTTTGAAGTGAAAGCAGTGAGAAATTGGCGCAAACAAAAGGATGTGTTTAAAAAGCATGGGAATATTGCCGTATTAAAAAAACGTAATTTCGGACGTATAGTCCGCGGACTATCTGACGATTTTTGAAATTTTTTTTATATAAAATCGTGTCTGCGGACGATACGTGCGAAATTACGGTAAATGATAAAAAGCTAAATATGGTAACCCAAGCAAAATTTTATGAATTTTGGAATTTCTAAGCAGCCAATAGCGTTGCAGAATTACAGGATTTCGGTAAAACGGAGACGTACGTGAAAATACCACGATGTCCGCGAGCATGAGCGTAAATCCCAAACATTGAGTCATCTCAGGTTTGAGACGTCAGTTTGTTTAGCTCGAATTTTAATCGTGTGAGCAAAGTCCGTGGAAGGTAGAAAGGAGTGTAGCATCACTGAAGTGCAGGTATGATTTGAGTATTATTCAAGTTTCATAAGTGCTAAACAATGGAAAATTTAAGTTTTTTAGTTTCGACTTGAATTTGTATGCTTGTACTATTTAAAATTAGGCAAAAACGCAACTTTAGATTGACGTAAAATTTTCAAGATTTTAAAAAATTGAATTCTTGCTTCAACTTCTTATTTAGAATTCTTCAGGGAAGCGCAGAAATATTTTCAGCTGATTGTGCATTTTGGCACACAAAATTATTTTGTGTGTTAGTACTTGAATAACCCTTATTCTTCGTATCTGGAATGCGGATTTTCTCATAAATTTTTAATTTCTCTTTAAATTCAGAAATAGTTTTACACCCATACAAAATAATTTTGTTACTACTCTGATCGGGTATCCCATTGATTACATAATCAAGAATCGATGAATCATCAATAGAAACGCGACTGGCTATTTCACGCATGGCAATTAAATATTTGGAAAGGGTTTAAGTCCAGAACCGCATTTTTTCTATTTAGCACGATATTACTTGCGTAATCAGAACAGTTTGGCTTAATGATTTGTTTCTGTAGCCATTCTGAAATCTGTTTATCAATTTCACGCTGCTCTGTGTGTGTGTGTGTGGGGGGGGGAAACGTCGCGGTGCGCAATGAACTGGGAGTTGATCTGTCAGCACTATCCTCATCTTCAGGGTAGATGTTTTTATTTTATTGGGCTTTTAATTCCTTACTAAATGTAGTATTTCATCTCGATGTACTCTGTCTTTGATACGATTTAAATCAATTTCCTCGTCATTATAAATATCATGAATACACATCAAATAGTTTTCTAGTTGCAATTTTCTAATTTCGACTATGCTATGCGTAATGTATGCTTTACACATTCGCGCGTTGAAAGAAATGTTTAATAAAGTAAACAAATAAATATTAAGCTTTTTTTTTTTTGTAAATTTGATACCCTTTAGATCATAATTGCTCTTTATTTCATAAATTACGGTTTCATATTTTTAATTGTATAATTTCTGCATGCCATCTTATCAGATTTAAATTGATGATCTATAATTCGGAAAAACCTTTAATCCGGAATCTCCAAAGTCCCGACAAGTTCGGATTACAGACTTTGTACTGTATTTCTTTTTCTGAATAAGTGGAGTGACAGTTTCCAGTAAAGTTTCAATTATCCTTCACCCATTCTGATGAAACTTTTGTAAACTTTGGATATATTTACCATCCCGAAGTTCATTTAAAAATTGACTGAATGCTCATCACGGCAAGCTACCCAGTCACGTTTTGACTTCCTTTTTTTCTTTTTCTTTTCTTTTCTTTCTTTTTTTTTTTTTGTTCCCCCAGAACAGAAATTAATTCGTTGGAAACTGCTTCACAATTTTCAAGGACAGCAACCTGCATGTCGGTGTCCATTTTGCAAACAAAAGGAGGCGAGTTGTCAGTCAGGCTCTGATCAGTGTAAACAATCTATCAGATTACAGGTCCGTTCACTTGGTTCGAGATGCTTGGATGAGGGACTCGCTAAAACCGGCCTTTAGGCAGGTAGCTCTAGCATGTTTTGCCATAATCAAATCAAACTAATATACAGCGGCTCCCAAAAGTGTTTGTACACTTGTGAGTTTCAGTAAAATATTTCGTTATTCATTAATAAAAATTAATATTTGAGAATGAGAATTTTTTAATACTATCTATAAATTTCTGTTAGCAAAAATACATTAGTTATTCTATGAACATTGTAAAAGTTTTTTTGTATTATTCCGTTTTGAGGACCGTAAAAACATTGCAGCGAAAATGTATGCGCAAAAGCGCCCATTTAACAGCGTGCCAAATCTAGCGTACGGGCTGATTTCGGATTGCGTAAGTTTATATAGTTCTATATTCCTTAAGATGCCATTGAAATACTAGTTTAATTTTTAAACCCTTTTTGATTTTAAATTCTTTTTTGATACCCCATCGATTTAACAATTTGGGAATTGCCCATGATGAAAAGTGTGCAATAGAATTTTGGGTAAAGTGCAGAATCACCCACTGCTTGACGCGTTTTTAGGAATTGTACATACTCGGTATCCATGTACGCATTGACATATTTTCACTTCAAAACAAAAATCCTGGAATTGCACAAAAATGGCACTGCGTACACCCTTGACTTTATCTATGTGCACATTGATCCATTTTCCCTTAAAAAGTAAAAGAAAATTGACAAAAATCCAATTGCTTTTACCCTTGTAAAAAGCGGCAAACAAATAAGTGGGCGATTCTGCACTTTACCAAGAATTTTTTCAAAGAAAAGGCATCATTCATTATAGAAAATTATGTTTGAACAGCCAACGAAATGAAAGTATGCTTTAGCGATAACTCGGTAGCGAAAAAGCGATGCAGGCATCCATTCAGTTATGTTTAGCAATTTTTGTATAAATTTTAATAATGATCTGAAATAGTTATTTACTGTTATGCTTCCATTCAGTCATGTTTAGCCTTTTTTATATAAATTATAATAATAAAAACGTATTATATGAATTAACCTTTCATCTAAATTAAAACATCAATCTTAGATAGTTATTTACTATTATACTTCCTTTCTTGCTTTAGGGTTGCCGTAATTATATTTAGCAGCACTAGCATCAACAATAGTTTGACGATTTTTTACGGCTCTCAAAACCGAATAGTACCAGTTTTTTGGGAGGAAATCAATAATCAAAATTAACAGAAAAAGTTACCTCACAGAAGTCTTCATATACTTTAGAGAAAAATCTGCACATATCATTAGCTATTGCGCCCACCAGTGGCCGAGTGGTAAAGTCGCTGAACACTGGTAGTTCGGTCCGAGGTTCGAATCCCACAAACGGGCTGGTTGCATGGGCGTTTTCGTGGTTTTCCCCATGTGTAACGTGTATACGAGCCAGTTTCCCTTAGAAAGTCCTCCACGAAGGCATCCCTCCTCTTAGGCAGATAGCCGTCGAGGCTTTGCCATAATCACACACACATTAGCTATTGCAGTATATCACATATTAGTAACTATTGCAGTATTTCACATGTATTAGTGACTATTATAGTATTATTCTACTATAATAGTCACATTATATTAGTGACTATTGTAGTATTTCTGTTAGTATTTTGTAGGAGATCTTGCAGCATTTATGACAGCTTTCAAACATCTGTGCAATGAGTTCAGCCAGGTTTTTTTAGTCCAAAGGGGCATTGTCCCTGAGGGACTATTGTTTTCATTTTGGCATTTTGCATTGAAATCTTGAAAAAGCTGTATCACTTTTCAAACTGTTGCCACCAAATATTATCACCTTGTATTATATTTGAAGAAATTAAATTATGAAGAATCTGCATAAATGTATGTATGTTTCTCGCATTCGCATTGTGATAAAACATTGGTACCTAGAGCCATCAAATTTTGAATGATGTAATCCTACTGTGAATATGGGTATCTGGAAGCCCAAATTTGGAATTTGAGGATTTCAAAGTGAGTAATGGCTACGATGTACAGAAAAAACATTTTTGTCTCCAGCCTGTGAAACTGTATCGGAAATTCTAAAGATATGCTCAATTTAAAATTATTTTGCGATGTTGCTCTTGAACTGAATTTTATGGTTTAAGTGCTAAGAACATGATATTTAATAAATAAAGGTAACACTCAAAATGTTAAAAAACGCCCCTTTGGAGCGTAATTTAATATCTGAAATCTTTCAGATTTTCTTCTTTTTTTGGTAATATCTGCATCAATGTTTCTCCATTCTTCCATCATTCCTGTTTTTAGTTTGGTTTTTGTTTTTATGCTGTGTCTTCATACTCTAACTTTTAAAGGGCATTCAGACTGGAGTTTATCTGACCTAACAGAGACAAGTGTCTTAGCCAACCCATCTCTCGAAACCAGTATTTCCCCCTTAGTGCAGTGATTTGAAACATCTGAACTGCATGTATAGCAGAGCTAGTCGACACATGGAACTGACTCCATTAGCTTAGATAAATCCCATTCTGAATGGGATCAATAAATACTATATTCAATAAATACTACGAGGGCCATCCAGGAAGTAGATTACGTTTCCGTCTGTGTCCGCTAGGGGCGGGGCTAGCGCGGCCATCTTGGGGTCAGAGCGTTGCGCAGCTCAGTCTGCATCTAGCCGTGCTAGTGAGAGGTTCGTGCTGTGCTCCTTTCAGATACTGTGACGGTTTGAAATGTCTGCGTTAATTGAAAATCCCGCGAGCTGCGAGGTGCGCTCAGTAATAAGGTTTCTGACTGCAAAAAACTGTAAACCGATAGAAATCTATCGGCAGCTTCGTGAAGTGTATGGGGACAACATTATCACTGAAGGTGGAGTGCGTCAGTGGGTCATAAGATTTCAAAATGGCCGAACCAATGTTCACGACGAAGATCGAAGTGGGAGAGACCCCAGCATAGTGACCGCCCGAACTTCTCGAAAAAGTCGATGCTAAAGTCCGTGTGAAAATCGAAATTTCACAATAACGGAACTTTCTTTGAGTTTTCCACAAATTTCGCGAAGTTTGTTGCACGAAATCATCAGCGAAAAGCTTGGTTACCACAAGTTTTGTGCAAGATGGAAGGCTAGAAGAGGTAACGAAGTGGTTGAAGGCGCAGGCGGCCGAATTTTTCGACGAAGGAATTTCCAAGCTCGTACATCGCTACGATAAATGCCTTAATTTGTATGGTGACTATGTAGAAAAGTAGTATTTGAGTGTGGCTTTCATCTGTATGTAATAAAATTTGTTTCCTATACTTTGTTTATTTTTTTATTCCAAAACGTAATCTACTTTCTGGATAGCCCTCGTATATTACCTAATCCTGATGGTGACATGCACCTCTAAACAAGAACACCTCCCACGGCCATGCTTTACTTTCCAACCAAGTTCTTGGAATTAAGTACCTCATTTTTTCTTCTCCATACAATTATATGCCCATCAGAACCAAAAATGTTAAATTTGCTTTCAACTGCAAATAAGGCCTAGTTCCAATACCCTACAGGTTAATTTACCGTATGTTTG